ACTCATGATAAAAATTCTTGGTGAACAATGAATATGAGGCAGCCCTTTCTCCCTTCTTGGGTAAAGATCTGTAAAAGTATGATAATATGATATTTAATATCTATCCCTTTGAAATCAGAAATAAAACTAGAATCTGTGGTATCAACACTCACATTCAACCTTGTATTTAAATTTCTAAGCAGTATAGTAAGGCTAGATAAATACATAAAAGATGTAAAAATAAGAAAGACAAAAAAAACCTGTCAAAAATTATAGGTAATAGGTGGTGTACATAGAAAACCTAAAAATGTTTTCAGTTAAATTTTTAGAGTTGGGGTATGAAAGTTATAATGTAGGTAAAACAATAAGTACATAGTAATCGGTTGTTTTTGTCATCACAACAAATGATAGAAAATCACATTTTAAAAAGGTATCCAAAATAGTATAAAAATCAAATATCTAAGAACTTTAACAATGTGCAAAGTGTCTATTCGGAAAAGCATATAACATGATTACAACAAATTAAAGATCCAATTGACCTTGTGAAAATCCATGTATAATTTTTGACTTATTCAAAAGTTAACTACTAATAACCTACTGTTAACTAGAAGCCTTATTAATACCCTACACAGTGGATTAGCTCATATTTAGTAAATAATATGTATTACATTGTGTATTCTTATAATAAGTAAACTAGAGAAAACAAGATGATATTAAGAAAATAAGTAATAGACTAACAATAGAAAATGATTTAGCCCTGGCTGGTGTGGGTCAGTTGGTTGAGCACCGGCCTGTGAAGCAAAGGGTTGAAGGTTGGATTCCCGGTCAGGGCACATGCCTGGGTTGTGGGCCAGGTCCCCAGTAGAGGGCGCTCCAGAAGCCACCGTGCATTGATGCTGCTCTCCCTCTCTTACTTTCTCCCTTCTCCTTTCTCTAAAAATAAGTAAATAAAATCTTTAAAAAATGATTTAAAAAAAGGCTTAACACTAAGCCTAAACTAAGGCTTAAAACTAAAACTAAACGAAAACTAAACTTAGAACTAAAAGAAAAAGAAAATCACAAGGAAGAGAAAATACATTTACAGGACAAATACTGTACTGTATTTATCATTACTCTAAGTTTATAATCACCTGTTATAAGCTCCACAGTTCTTCCAGGGGATTTTTCAATTTGTTGATTAAAAAAAAAAAAGACATGCAGCTTGAACCGGTGTTGTTCAAGGGTCTACTGTATAACCAAATGGGAAGCTATAGCAATTTCATGGATTGGGAATGTTATTTTAAAAAATACTATTTCTCCCCAAACTGATTTAGTGTAATCTAATCAAAATTTAATCAAAAGCTGATCTTTGTAGAACTTGGAAAACTAATTCTACAATTAATACGTTGAAAAAGAACAAAATGAAAAGCATTGTTATACTAAATACTATGACTTTTTATAAATCAGAGTCATTAAGGCAAGGTAATATTGGCATAAAGACTGGTAAATAAACCAACAGAATAGAGAGCTCAGAAAAAGACCCACTGATAGACAATTAAAGTACGACAAAAGAGGCATTGCAAAGTTGTGAGAGAAGGATAATTTTTCAATGAAGGGGGCTATAACAATTACCTATTTGTACCCAGAAAAAAACAGAAGAACCTCTATATCTTTCCACCTTCATACCATAAAAAATATATCAGTCTTGGATGGATCACAGATATAAATGTGAAAGGCAAAACAATAAATTTCTGGGATACTGATAAGGTCAAGTTAAAGGAGTTCATCATCGCCAAGCCCTTATTATATAAAATGTTACAGGGACTTATCTAAGAAAAAGAAGATAAAAAATATGAACAGTAAAATGACAACAAACTCACAGCTATTAACAACTGAACCTAAAAAAAAACCAAACAACAAAAGAACTAGAACAGGAAAAGAATCACAGAAATGGAGATCACATGGAAGGTTATCAGCAGGGGAGTGGGAAGGGGAGAGAGGGGGAAAAGGTACAGAGAATAAGTAGCATAATTGGTAGGTAGAAAATAGACAGGGGGAGGTTAAGAATAGTATAGGAAATGTAGAAGCTAAAGAACTTATACGTATGACCCATGGACATGAACTAAAGGTGGGGAATGTGGGTGGAAAGGGATGTGCAGGGCAGAGGGGAATAAGGGGGGGGGATGGGATAACTGTAATAGCATAATCAATAAAATGTATTAAAAATAATAGAATAAAAAGGAAAAATAATGTTGATAATACTGCAATAAATACAGTAATGCCAAAAAATTTCTGGGACACTTAGGAAAAATGTCAGGATAAAACAGAATTATAAAGAGATAAATTTGCTTCTATTATACTTAAAAACTTCTGTTTACCAAAAGATATCTTTTGGAAGGCACAGAATGGAAGAATATACTTACAAAATATAATAACAAATTGCTGGTAACTAGAATATAAAAAAAACTCCTATGAAAGAACAAAAAAATGATAGACAACTCATCATAAAAATGGCCAGGAGAATTGAATTGGTACTTCTCAAATGGCAGATAATCATGTGAAAAAGTGCTCAGCCTCATTAGTCATAAAGGCAAATTCTACCTCGAGACACTTCTATGAACTTACCAGAATGTCTATTGTGAAAATCCTCATAATATTCTAATTGTCAAGGAGGGGAAAACTTGGGAAAACGTATGCATTGCTGGTGGTGACAAAAGGTGGTACAATTAATTTAAGAACCTGGCAGCACCCACTAAAGTTGAAAATATACATATCATGACCTCACAAGGCCACTTCCTTTACCATCTGGAAATGGTGCACCAAGAGAAGTAAGTATACAAAATGTTCATGGTAGCAGACTACTAAAAGTCAAATAATGGAAACAGCCCAGATGTTTATCAGCAGTGGAATGGATGAATTGTGGTTTCTATACATACTAGAAAAATGAAAAGAACTACAGCTACTTATAAAAGCATGAAAGAATATCAAATAATATGGTAAAGGACCAAGTCAAGCACAAAAGGGTCATTCCATATGTATGATTCCATTTAAATAGATGACGATCAACATTAGATAACTGACTCTATTGTGCTTAGGGATGGATACTTACGGTTAAACTATGGGTTGATTATCACAAAAATCCGGGTTGGGGGGAGGGGCTATTGGAGGACTGACAATAATGCATTTCATGACTTGACATCAGTGTTTGCCTTGTGGTAAGTCATTAGGTAGTCTTGTTAGTGAACTTCTTTTCTCAATGTATATTATCCTTCCCAATTAGAAAGAGTTAAGAAATCTGATTTGATAAAGAAAAAGAGACTGAAGCAAGGAGAATATATTTTCTTGAGGGGTAGAGAAGCTAGGATCCCTAGGGAGAGACAGAAAAGGGAGGTGCAAAAATTAGAAAAGGGGAGGAGCCAGGAGACAAGCGCTTCCATCGCAATTTTAGAGGTTCAAGGTAAAGGGAAGAGCAGCGACCCTGGGAGAACCTGCTGTTGGGTACCAAGACATCTGCCTTATTGTTTCGGCAATCTCTGTCAGTTATGGGAAGGAAAATCTCCTTTTAAAAGTTCCTCTTTGATAGAAAAATGTCTCTGCATCCTCTTTGGCCGTACTAGGTCTGATAGTATTCTGCACCTTTTATACTGCATAGTGCTTTATTTAGAATCGTTTCTTTTTGTAAAACCTCAAAAACTAGTTCTTCTGTGGGCTCGCATCAAAAAAATATGAATGATCTAATTCTCATAATTCTTGGTACAGATCTTCAAGGCATCTGGGAGTAAATTAAATATTTAATGCTAATCTGCAAGATAAAATATTTAGGTTCTCATTCCCCAGAGAATTGTTCTTTTCTTTTTGGCCTCTGATGACTTCAGGTCTTACAATTTTTACCCGTGGGGATTACAGGTGGAGCATAAAGCCTGTAAATGGACATTCCCTGGGTTTTTACTAAATGAAAAAATGTCTGGAGAGGGGAGACACAACTGAGATCTCATTCCAGCCAATGAATACTCCTTCTTGAGGTTAAAAACTTATGCTGGGAAGTGGTGCAGGATACACTATTGGGAAACAGTATTTCGAGTGATTCCAAAGATACACAGTTTTCACCTATCCTCCTCTTTAACAAAAAAGGCCAGGCAGCCCTGAGTGCAGGGAGGAGGATGGAGAGTTGAGAGTATGGAGGAAACAAATTTCAGCTGTTGTCCCTTTATTTTATTGGAGTGCTCCAACAATTATTATTTCTAGAGAGGAGAAATGGCTGCCTGCAAGAGTTTTTGGATGAAAATAGGGGTAATGATGATGATGAAAGTTTCTTTATGTCTTTTCTTCAGGTTTTCTTCATTACATAACTTTTATTTTGCTTGAATGACTTCAATATATCTGTATGCTTTTACATTACACTTTTTAAAACCCACACATGGAATTCACAGCATCATTTAGGGAACTGGATTTGAGTGAGGTTTTTGCCTGGCACACAGCATCGGCACTCATCTATCATCATGGTCAGTATTATTAATGTTACCCCCTCAGGAGAACTACCGTTGTGTTCTGTTTTTGCCCTTGCAATGTATAAAGCATCCTCCAGACCACGCTCATCGCGTGACACAGGCTAGTACTGATCTTTACTGGGTGTTAATTTTGACAACAGGAAAATACAGAACTTCTGCCTCCATGGAGTTTCCTATAGTTTCCTCAAAGGCTGGGAGTTAGCGACCCCTGGGTGTCAGCAGTGGTTGGTGCCATGGTCTGTGTGCTCCTGTGTTGGGGGTGGGGGGAGGAGGGAGGTTTGCCTTGTCCCTAGGAGGTTTCCCTTTCCAGGGAAAGGTTTGCCTTTCCCTGGACAGAGGTTAAGAAAACCTGGTGAAATAGATGCCAGGAACATGTTACTTAATTTGGTCAACGAATAGCGTGTATAAAAAAATCTGGAAACCCTCAGCGGTACACTGGGATGGGGGCTCTTACAGGAAGAGCAGAAACAGAGTATCACCCAAAACTTCAAATTCGGGCTGCGGCATCTTAGAGGGTGAGCATAATGTAATTACCATTTCTAATAGCCTAGATTTTGATATGGAATCTTCTGGGTTGGAAACTTGACTGCACCAATTACTTAGTCCTATCTTGAGCGAGGTACTTCATGGCTTTGGGCTCCAATTTCCGTATCTGTAAAATGGGGTAACATTAATTTATGAGGCTGTTGTGAGGGGGAATAGAACAAGGGTCTTCTTATTATAAAAAAAAATAATCTTTTATCTAATTCCTAAGACATCTTCAGATTTACTCATGCCTTACTAAGAATTCTCAAACACCCCAGTAGTTTTCCTTACTGATTGTACTTCGTAGTTCCTCCACGACCCCACGCCCCTCCACCTCGCTCCCAGGCTCTGGCTCTCCAATTCCACCACCGCTCTTTTGAGCGACGGGGTGGAAAGAGGAAGAGACAGGTGGGGTAAGGGCTGGGGCGAACCTAGCCCCCTGGTCACCCGGCCTCCTGGCACTGTGGGGCCTGTCATGGCGGCCCAGCCACAGCTTAGGTGATCTCAGATTGCAGAGCACCAAGAATGGAACAATGGACGGGTCGGCGATGCCCAGACCCCTGCCCCGCCCGCGGCCCGCCTGGCAAGCGCGCTGGGATCGCAGGTAGTGTCGGTCCCTGCCTCAAGCGGCGTGGGTCCCACCGGGACCGTGGGCTCAGCTTCGAGCTCCAGCGCCCACCTGGGAAGGCGGCACCCCGGGCCTTACGTGCCGGCAGCCGAAGCCCAGGCGCTGCAGGAGCGGCACAGACACCAGCGCCCCCGAGCGCTCCCGGCCGCGCGGAGCCGGCGCGGACCGAGCGCCCTCCCCGCCCCCTCCCGCCCGCTCCGCGCAACGCCCCGCCGCCCGCCCCGCGCGGCCCCCACCCACCGGCCGCTCCTCCCCTCTCCCCACCCTCCTCCTCCGCCCCCTCCCCTCCCCCGCCGCCTCGCCGACTGCTCGGCTGAGCGTCGGAGGCGCCGGGCCCGGAGCGCAGGCAGCGAGGCCACCGCGGCCACCGCGGCCACCGCACCTGCAGCGCGTTCGGGCAGCCGAACGGACACTTCGCCTCCCGCCACCCAACCACCTTCTCCTAGGCGCTGGGTCTCCTATGACGCGTGAGTCCCCCGACGGGCCACAATGACCACTTCCCTTCAAGGTGGGCAGAGCCCGGCGGGTAGGGCGGCAGCCCGGGACTCGCGACCGGCCGCCCAGGTGTGCGGCGCGGCTCCGGGGAGGGGCGACGCCCGCGACCCGGCGTCGGCCCCCGGGCCGCACGCGCGAGCGCTCCGGCCCCCTCCGGACGGGACCCGCGCCTGTGCTGCAGACAGGTAGGCAGCCCTCCGGGGGCGCGGGGGAGTGTCCTGGGTTGGCAGCCGGCGAGGGGGCGAGGAGGCGGTCCTAAGGGGTGAGCCATGTGCCCATAGCTGGGCCAAGTTTGTGAAAGTCTCTGAAGACAATTCCCTTTGAGCTGGCTTCTACCGGATCAGCAGGACACTGCGATCTCGCAGAGCCTTATAAATAGCATCGCCGTTTCTTTGAGAGCTCGCGGTCTCTTTCTCGCCTCTGCCCATCTGTGTGAACTAGGAGGCCGAGCTTCAGGCTGACCACCCATCTCCCTTCATTCTTCGTGGCCCAGCAATGAAAAACAAACAGACGTTGTTTAAATTGTATAGAATTTAAAAATCGTAGGGTAAATGAGTTTACCTCCTACATAGAGTCTTCCAGCGAGCCTGGAAAAGCAAAGCACGGATTGAAATTTGAGCAGTCTTGCTGTTCAGCAGCAAAGAACAGAGGCTTTAAAAGGTTTCCCAGTCTCCATAGCATTCAGCACTAAGTGCCTGTAGAGTTCACAATTTTGCGCATTCTTTAGGAGGAAAAAGGCTGTAACGATACAAAAATCTCTAGTCCTTTACATTCATACATTTAATCGGTACTTTTCCCCCCAGATTTTAAAAGTGCTTCAACTTCACTAAAGTTAAAACTACTTTCAGTGGACAAGAGTACACTTATACTAGCAAGTTCTATTCACTTACCTACTCGCAAACACTGCCTTGTGATTTAGTATCTAAAAGTACTTGAAAAATCAACATACTGTGTCTGGGCAACGTTGTGAATGAAATTTGAAGTGAGATGATCCACAGCTATAATTAATAGACCAAAACTTCCAAAACTGATTAGGGAAATAGCACAGGAATGAATTCATTGCGTTTCATAGACTTGAATGGATGCCTAGCATTGCCTAACTCCTCAGGATGTTTATTACATCAAGAAATATATAGTATGTATTTCAGTTTCAGGAAAATTATCAAAGTACTGGAAATGGGATTTCCGTGCCTGGTGATTTTTTAAAAAGCAGCTTCCCCTCACCCCAAGGATAAGATACTATAGATGATTGATTTGTATCAATTAACATATTTTATTTTAACCAGAAAAGTCCTCCACAGACCGTTGTCAGAGTGGTACATGTTGGCTTTAACTTTTTAATTCTGACAGCAATTATATTTTACCTTCTGTTTTATGTAAATTACATCCTATGTTCTCTCGATGTAGGAGAGAAAAGAAAGATCTTGATGTTCTGGAAATGCCATCTATTCCAAACCCTTTCCCTGAGCTATGCTGTTCTTCATTTACATCTGTGTTGTCGGCAGGCCTGCTTCCCAGCACAAATTCAAGGAAAAAACAGGTATGCTTTTTTAAATTTTCTAATTAAAAAGCATTAAGAGTTCTAAATTCACACAGTCTTTAAAATATTCAGTAATTTACGATTTTAACAGAGGATTAACATGGCCTATTTTAAATCTATCGACTGACATAGTTCTTTGTCATTATTTTCCCTTTGGGCCTCAGTTTTCACAGTTGTAAAATGGGAATGTTAAAACTTACCTGTCAGGTTCTTGGGACAGCTGAAATGAGAAAATACCTGTAAAGTACAGAGTGTGGGAGCTATTATTATTATTCACAGCGTAGGTGGGAAAAGTCTTTTTGATACAAGATTATCAATTGTAAGTCAAGAATTGGAAGGGGGACAGTGGAATTGGGATGAGAAGGAAACTGGCTGATTTCTTTAGTATCTTTAAATCTTTCACAATTTCAACTAAACCAACCTCATTTACTAAAGGAAAGTGATATAGTGAATCTGTGGCAAAGGTAATTGGAGTTCAGGACTTGACATCTTCTTTATTTCAGTTAATTCTTACTTAAGAGGCTTCTGGCAACAGAAGGCAGATGACTTGTAAGTGATGATTAGAAGATGGACTTTATTCTTTTTTATTTCCTTTCTTAGGAGTATCTAGGATGGGACTGACTGAAGCAGGTTAGAGTTCAAGGATGAAGCACCTACGTGGAGATCATGATTATACCTTTTGCAAAACAAAAAAAAAATCAGTGTGTTTTGAAATAATCTCTTAATATTCCTCTCAGTTTTGAATCAACAAAACAAAGGGAAGTTTCACTAGACAAAATGTACCTTGTTCTTGCAGGGTAGAAGCAATAAATTTAAGTCGTCAGATGCTTGCAGTGAGGAGAGTGATCATGAACGGAGGGGAGAAAACAGTTGATCATAGCCCTCTCTGGCTGGGTCACTTGGTTACAGCATCATCCCCATACCCCAGAGATAGTTGAGGTTGCTGGTTTGATCCTAGGTCTGTGTACAAGGAACAACAGTGAATGCATAGATAAGTGGAGCGACAAAGTGATGTTCCTCTTTCTTTCTTACTGTCTCTTGCTCAAATCAATAAATAAAAATAAAAAAAATAAGTTGATCGTTTTTGCCCATCTGTTGCTCCCTTTCTTTTTTCCTGCACTTTTACTACCTGTGATGGGTTCGGTAATGTTTGTTTATAATTTTAGGAATGGAGGAAATACCCTAGGAAGTAGATGAATTCCTGGTACCATAGAGCCAGTGTGGAAGTATTCCATGGAATGTTGTGTTTTGATGGAAATCTGGTATAAAAAGACATACATACTTTTTTTTTTTGGTGGGGAGGAGAAGTGAAATTTAATTGCGGCGTGTACTTTTTGGATAAGGATTGAAGAAAGTGGGAGTAAATATTCCAAGAGCGGAGGTATGTTCTGAGTTAGTCCTTAAGTGGGTGGGACTGTGCGCTTGGATGGGGAAATGAACATGAACGAGCAACTTTCTTGAGAGCTTTATTGTCACAGTGAGGTTTAAAGTCAGAGCCCAAGGGAAAAAAAATGCCATTGTGAAATGGCCGGGCCCTTTGAGAGCTTGATTTTTTTGGATATAAGATGCGAGTGTGGATGATAGATTTCGCTGTGTGCCGTGGTGGGGGAAAAGTTGATTCTAGGTGGTTCATGTGACCTGAGAAGGGAAAAGAAAATGTCTGGTGGAGTTTTAACAGATTTCCCAGTTTATGGAGGCCTGTTACATTCCTTGCACCTAGGCTCTGAGGCACTGAGCTGAGCAGAGAGGCCACGTGAAGGGTGTTTACCGAGGTGGGCCTTTGATTTGGGGTTTGGTTAGGGGTTAGGAGTTGAACAGAAGGAGTGGGAGAAGAGGTCTGAGCTCACTTGCAGTTTCCTTTCATGAATGGATATTGAGAATGCCTGTGTCTTAAGAGGTGCATTCATGGGACAGGTTTCTTTTGAATAGAGAGAGCAAGAGAGAGAATAAGTATTGTATGCTTATGTTAATGGAATAAGAAGAGAAAGAGAGTGGGTATCAATGTCAAGGTGAAGTCAGGGTGTGCCCTAAGTGTGGATAGTCATCATGCTAGAGTAAGACATCTTATCTTGGGGAATGCATTTCTTCAGATCAGGTTCAGCAAATTGGCAACGTGGGAAAAGGGTGCTATGTTACTATTGACTCTGACCTGTTTTCCTGCTCACACCTCGTTCCCTGTTTCCTCAGTGACCTCAGAGAGCACTGCACCCACACAGACAGCTGTGCCCTGTCATGAGCGGAGAGATGTGGCCTGAGTGCTGGAGGCCAGTCCCTGAGGGATGTTCCCCCCTAAAGGGCACTTCCTGCTTATCTTTTTCTAGCCCAAGGGTCCCTTGGGGTCTCTAAGAAGAGAAGGCTGTCCCAAAGTTTCAAACAGGACAGTTTCTTTTCAAATATTTTTTACGTTTTCTTCTCCCCATCTAGATTTTGCATTTTGAACTTATCCTTTGTTTTTATTCCCTTATATATGCTCTGTTCTTTGGAATGAGTGAGGTTTTTAGAAACACGTGAGTATGTCAGTAATTTCCCCAAGGTCAGTATCTTAGTGACACAGATTACCCTTTTACAAGGTGGTATTTCTGGCCCAGTTGTCCCTGACCATTGGTTGAAATGGTATAAGTGACAGTGTGTAATGGATACTATATAATAGTATTTATGGTTGAAACATTCCAGGGGATGATGTCCCTTTTCTTCATATTCTCTCTTTTATTTGGTTTGTTTAATCATTCCAGTCATTTTAGCAATTCCTTTCTCCCCATAGAAAAAGTGAAAGATTGCTTGCTATGTACAAATAAATGACCAGAAAGTTTGAAAGAATCCAGACTAGAAATGTTAAATTTTATGTGGCCTTTCAAAACCACAGTCGGAAATCATTTTACAGGTCATAAATATTTTTTTTGCAATTTGAGTTGCCTACTTAATGCATGAGTGGTACAGTGTAATGAAGCCACAAATAGGATATGCTTTATCTCTTTTTGCAAATAGAATGTCCCAAAGTATTGAATACTGTTGGCTTCTTGTTTTTTCATTTAAAAATGAGAGCTAGAATGAGGTAGAACCTGGATTCTTTACTTGCCCTCCCTCCTAGTTTTTTTATAATACTATTCAGTTATATTTCTCTGGCAGATTTCTTTGTGTGTTCACCAGTAAAGCAAATAGAAAGCATATCTCCCTCAATACACATGGCCCAGAAAATTTATTTACGATTTAAATTTTATATTAAGAGTGACTTACTTTATGAATTTAGATCTTTCTCTCTCTCTCTCTTTTTCCTTCTGATTGAAATTTACCAGTAACTTGTCCCTGCACACTTAGTGTTTGGAGAAAGGGGAAGAATGAGGCAAAATCTTGATAACTGCCAAATGTGGAAGAGGGGATCTTCAGCTCTTGCTGCAGAATCGGGTCTCGTCTTGAGTTTGTCAACCCCCAGATAATTTTTGTGCTTGGACTCAGCTTGTGTATTAACTCTGATTAATTGCTTCCCAAGACT